TGCGTCGGCCATGGCCAGGGGAGCCAAGGCCATCATCAGCGTCGGTACCTTGTGCACCATGGAAACCACTGGCAATAACGAGCGCTTCTGCTGAGCTTTTTTTTTCTTTTTATTTTTTTATTTTTGACGAGGTAAGAGAGAACAGAGGGCGGGGAGGTTTTCATGTAAAACAGGGGACTTTTGAATAATTAATAAAAAATAAAAGGAAAAAAATGCTTCCAGCCCCCCAAAAGCCAAGTGAACGTGCTTCCCACCCCCAAGACTTGGTCAATGAGTGTTTTACCCCTAAAAATAAACATTTTGTTCTCTGAGCCCCCAAAACACAAAACCCAAGACATTAAAACATGTGAAGACCATAATACCCTTCTCTCTCTCTTTCTTTTTTTATTAAAATATAATGGGAGATTATTTTATTATTTCTCTCTCTCTCTCTCTCTTTATCATGATGTACCAAGAGGATCTTTAGATAGGTAACCCTAACAATTAAACCCGTAACTTTAACAATTAAACCCGTAACCTTAACAATTAAACCCGTAACCTTAATGAACGTTGTGGAGAACTTGCGTGGAATGTTTAAAACTCTAAGTTTTAGAACTCTTCTGATCGAGTTTGAACTCTTGAAAAAGAGTTGATTTGAACCGAAAGTTCGGTTGATAAGCCAAGGATCAAAGCTCTCTGTTGTCGAAGTTGAAGATAATCTTCGTTGGAGGATGATGCCGATCCCCTCAAAAGCTCGCCCAAGGATCTCTCCTGTTGCTGCCAATTCTCAGCTCCAAAAAGCCAGCCTTCAATGGTCGATTCAAGCCAAGAAAAATCCAACCCTTAACTCAGCCGAGTTTACTCGCTTTTATAGGGGATTAAGGGGGTGTAACTGCCCTCTAAATCCGCTCCTAAGTGGGCGTGATTTTCTCAGATCGTGGGGAAAACGGTTCTGAAACCGTTCGACTCATATTTGAATGAGTCAAACACCCAACCTGGCGTTCAGGACCCTAACCTCGCGTTTTAGACTGGAGACGCGGAGTTGGGTATCCGCTGGGCATTCAGAAAATGCGAGGGTCGACCCTGGCGTTTTGATGTTGTAACACGGGTTCGACCCTGTCGTTTTGCTGTTGTAACGCGGATCCGACTCCAGCGTTTTTATGTTGACATACGGGGAGGGCCTCCGCGTTTTGATGTTGTAACGTGGGATCGACCCTCGTGTTTTGATGTTGTAACGCGGGATCGACTCCAGCGTTTTGATGTTGTAACGCGGGTTCGACCCTCGTGTTTTGATGTTGTAACGCGGGTTCGACCCCGGCGTTTTGATGTTGACACACGGGGAGGACCTCCGCGTCTTGTCTTGAAGAGATTATCACAAAGTAATCTCTTTTGTCATAGCGTTGCAAAGATCATTGTCTTGTAATCTTCGTCTTGGCTCCTTGAGAATATAAGAGTCGTCAGATTGTAACTCCCGATGTTGATTATGAATGCTGTTAAACTAGATCTCTCATCGGTTGTCGTGAATGTCGTCAGATTGTAACCTTCAGCGATCTACGTGAAAGTCTTCAAATTGTAGCCTTCTGGAAGTCGTCAGATTGTAACTTCCATCATCGGTGTTTGATGGAGGATAAGCTATCTATTGTGATTTTTAGACAGCCTACACTTAACAACAAATCCGTAACCTACACAATAAATCCACAACCTTAACAACAAACTCTTAACCTTAACAACCAACCCGTAACCTTAACAATCAACCCGTAACTTTAACAACCTCCCAATACAAACAACCAAAATAATAAAAAATAAAAATAATAAAATAATCATCATCAATCATTTCAACTATCCTCTTGGTACATCATGATAAAGAGAGAGAGAAAACAAAAATAATAAAATAATCCCCATCATATTTTAATAAAAAAAGAAAGAGAGAGAGAGAGGATTCATAACCTTAACAACAAACCCTTAACCTTAACAACCAACCCGTAACCTTAACAATCAACCCGTAACTTTAACAACCTCCCAATACAAACAACCAAAATAATAAAAAACAAAAATAATAAAATAATCCTCATCAATCATTTCAACTATCCTCTTGGTACATCATGATAAAGAGAGAGAGAAAACAAAAATAATAAAATAATCCCCATCATATTTTAATAAAAAAAAGAAAGAGAGAGAGAGAGGATTCATAAGCTTAACAACAAACCCTTAACCTTAACAACCAACCTGTAACTTTAACAATCAACCCGTAACCTTAACAATCAACCCGTAACTTTAACAACCTCCCAAAACAAACAACCAAAATAATAAAAAACAAAAATAATAAAATAATCCTCATCAATCATTTTAACTATCCTCTTGGTACATCATGATAAAGAGAGAGAGAAAACAAAAATAATAAAATAATCCCCATCATATTTTAATAAAAAAAGAAAGAGAGAGAGAGAGATGATTCACAACCTTAACAACAAACTCTTAACCTTAACAACCAACCCGTAACCTTAACAATCAACCCGTAACTTTAACAACCTCCCAATACAAACAACCAAAATAATAAAAAACGAAAATAATAAAATAATCATCATCAATCATTTCAACTATCCTCTTGGTACATCATGATAAAGAGAGAGAGAAAATAAAAATAATAAAATAATCCCCATCATATTTTAATAAAAAAAGAAAGAGAGAGAGAGAGGATTCATAACCTTAACAACAAACCCTTAACCTTAACAACCAACCCGTAACCTTAACAATCAACCCGTAACCTTAACAATCAACCCGTAACTTTAACAACCTCCCAAAACAAACAACCAAAATAATAAAAAACGAAAATAATAAAATAATCCTCATCAATCATTTTAACTATCCTCTTGGTACATCATGATAAAGAGAGAGAGAAAACAAAAATAATAAAATAATCCCCATCATATTTTAATAAAAAAAGAAAGAGAGAGAGAGATGATTCACAACCTTAACAACAAACTCTTAACCTTAACAACCAACCCATAACCTTAACAATCAACCCGTAACTTTAACAACCTCCCAATACAAACAACCAAAATAATAAAAAACGAAAATAATAAAATAATCCTCATCAATCATTTCAACTATCCTCTTGGTACATCATGATAAAGAGAGAGAGAAAACAAAAATAATAAAATAATCCCTCATCATATTTTAATAAAAAAAAGAAAGAGAGAGAGAGAAGGGTATTATAGTCTTCACATGTTTTAATGTCTTGGGTTTTGTGTTTTGGGGGCCAGAGAACAGATTCTTTATTTTTAGGGGTAAAACACTCATTGACCAAGTCCTGGGGGTGGGAAGCATGTTCACTTGGTTTTTGGGGGCTGGAAGCATTTTTCCCAAAATAAAAAGTACGGGGAAATTGTATATATACAAATATTTTTTATTTTATAACGACTAAATAGCACTTATCTATCCTATTGTTTCACCAACTTTGGACTTAAATAACCCAACTTTTATTTAGTAGTAAAAAATGCCCTGAAGTTTTTTTAAACTCTAGCTTCAATGCCACTTAAATACTCTTAAAGTTTCAATAACTAGCAGTTAAACGCCCTAAAGGTTTTACTATTAGCATTTAAATACCCTTAGGTTTTTAATACTAGCACATAAATACTCTTAGTTACGTAAATTTAAGGGAATTTAAGTACAAGTTTAAAACTTTAGAGTATTTAAGCTAGTGTCGGATTTGAAAACTTTCGAGTATGTAAATGCAATAAAAAATGAAGAAAGGTAGATAAGTGTAAGTTTAAAAAAGTTAAGGGTATTTTTTTACTACTAAGTATATAAGTAAATATATATAAGAAAAAGTTATATGAAATTGGTTACGTAAGTGCTATTTGTCCTTGTTTTTGCTATTTATCAATCTTTTGTTCTTCCGTGTTGCTGATCGTTTGAGTTCGTGTTTTGTCGCGTGGTTAGCACGTGAGTCTGTTATGCTGCCGTCATGTTCGTTTTTTGGTATTTTCGTTTGAGGTGTCTGTTGCGTGTCGTCCGTTTCGTGCTTCTGTCGTTTTGTGTGGCTGTAGACATCACCCGCCACGTGTACCTCGGTCGCCGTGTTCTTACCGTT